TACCCAGAACCCTGAAATATGACCTTTAGAGAATATAGGTTGGGGAATATAAACTGATATCATAGTGATCAAGACATGAGGACATAGATAAGTATTCAATGACTCGTGAATTCAATTCATATAAACCACATACCAAGACCACTGTCATTATCTAAACACTTTATACGAATGTTGGAAAGAAAAAATTGTTTAGATTCTCAAACGTAAATATTGATGTTAAACTGAAGGAATGAAATCGATTTGTTTACTGACGTGCCTATTAATACACCTGGAGGTGACGTCAGCTGGCAATAAAGATCGCTATAACAACACAGGACCACAGGAATATCCTGACGTGTTGTTGTTGCTCGATGAGAATGACGTTTTGGATGAGATGTTGGACCAAGCTTGGTTGGAAGTAAATGGCAACGCAGAAGAGGAAAAGATTGAAAAAACTGGAGAAATTGGTGAGAATTAAATGATAAACTGTTTCCTTTTAACTTTTCTTCCTCTCGTAAAATTTTCATAATTTTTTATGATTTAATTTATCCAACTTTTTCCACTCTAAGGTAGACGGACGACCGATAGATCGAATTAGAATTTGGAAGTTCATTTTTGTGTAGCGACTAATATCGGAGAACCCGGAGTATTTGTCATTGATAATTTTTTATTTATCTTTAATTTATTTATTGGGTCTTCACACTCACACAAGTTAAGGTCCATCGTTTTGTAAATACAGCTTATACCAGGTCTTCTCGTGCGTTATTAATAAATTTCCGATAAACTGCACGAACTGACGATATATAAACTGAGCCGACACATTGACGGTCGGCAAATTAATTAACAGCAATTATTTTGCATTCAGACCCCCATGACATAAACAAACAAACAAACAAATATCTAATCCAAACATTTTCTATTCCTAGTACATAATGGGTTCAGGTCATATAGATAGGTTTACTTGTCTTTTGTTTGTTTGTTTTTATCATTATTTCTTTTGTTTATTCATTGTGGCTTCCGTGTTAGACCTATCCGGCCAGGCTATGCTTGATTGTCCACCCTAACAATAGGTAGTCATCCCAATGCATGAAATACAAAATGTCCGACGAGCAAACTCGAGTTCATAAGAATTTACAGATTTCATATTGCTCTCCTGTTTTTAGAATCTTCTGGAAAATCAGCTGCTTCAGGAAGAATTGCTGAACAAAGTGGTGAACAAGAGCTAGAAGACAGGACACAAGGTATATATACTAAGTATAGAGCTAACACGCGGATTATATAGACCCCCAAGCATTCAAAGAACACAGTTCATGCAAATAAAGTTATATATGGAAAAGGAGTCAAATAAGGGAAAGCTGGCCGTTTTACGAAAGCTCATGTCTGTTACAAATATAAAATGACACAAACGATACTGATTCACTGTCAGAGGCTTGCATCAAGCCGCACCGGCTAACTCTAGCTCACTAGGAGATGTTCTTACAGCTCATCTGGTGGTGAGCGCCGTGAGCGAAGCGGCACGGGTACGCCTAGCTTCGAGGGAAGAGATGGCCGCTTACCTAACGGGAGACGATTAGAGAGACCTTGAGAAAGTCTAAGGATCACTATACTAAATGACACTAATAATCTCACTAATAATCTTACTTTTTCTTTTGCGCTGATATTTTTGTCTCGTGTATTTGTTACACAAGTTTCAGGGGAGACGGTGTTAGGTTCTGCAGAACATGAGGTCAGCGGTGATGACCAAAAGCACCACCAAGGTAAGCATGAATAAATGTCTCCTGACGTCACAACCGCCTTGTTTTGGTTGCCTTCTCGGTAAATTTCCTTTTTCTTTTGAAGCTCAAAGACCAGTTCAGCAGATGGACTCTGGTTGTGGCTGTGAAGACCAAACATGTGAATGCTGCCTTGATGTGGATGTATCTCATAACATTGCTGATGGTAAGATGCTGTTCGTTGCCTGCGTTATTTGGTAGTCTGCGGTCGTTTGCGGCGAAATATCTCTCACCGCTCCCTACGAGAAAACCGCGGACCGCCAAACATCGAAGGCTAGGCTGTCGATTGCCTATTTCAACCCTATGTCATTATCTCATTTGAACTAAAGTACCTTTCTTTTGTAGTTTGTGTGCAAGTTACTCTCTTGAGAGAAGAGATGGTAAGAGTCAGTCGTATAATTTATGTTCCACTCTCATATTCAAAGCTCTCTACGGAGTGTGGAAATGACGAGTACATTTTCTTAGAATCAATATCATAATCAGATTATTTATCCAACTGGTCATGGTTTTACACTAGGGACTGAAGTTCGCTGTCACATGGAAGGGTCAAACAGCCTTTAGCAAAAGCATATCAGGTAATCAGATGGATAACGAAGCGAAGCCGGTGAAASGTTAAAGGCTTTAATTCTCCTCTCCCCTGAGATAAAAAAGAAATGTGAGGTGGACGATGCTATATAGATGATGCCGGGCTCTTGTTCATTGCATGGCTGTTTAAAAATTTAACATTTTTGTTGAAGAACACATTATGAAGCAGTCTATTCCATGCTCTGTTTTGATTGCTAATTATAATGAGTGGGAGCCTGTTTTAGGTTTTAAAAAAATTTCTTTTTTCGAAGTCGTTCCGCCGCCTAGGGGACCAAAAGCGATTCTGTGAAGAAAACTGCCTCCTATACGTACACGTCTGCACTTTTCAACGACTACGAAATTTAAGATCTGTAAGAAAATATATGTCAAAGATTTAGTCTGTGCCGTTTTAGCATTCGTACGGTTCTGTTTTCACAACGACTTTAAGCGCGACAATGCCTTTAAAACAGCCACGGCCCTGGAGAATCAAACTACTACGAATTATTCTTTTCCCTTGCTTAGTTAACCTGTAACTTAATTTGCCAACAATTTAATACTATTTGTAATTGCTTTCTTTTTTTCAGCTGAAAATCCTCCTTCCATTTGTTTTTCCATCCCATTTGTTCGTTTTCTCAAAGGATGCATAAGATTCACCAACATGTCTTACGATCATACGTTTGGCGGGTGCATATCGTTAGGATTCAAACTACTCTTATTTAAGAAAGAATTCAAATTAGGCTGCTTCTACAATCCTAATGCTACAAGTCTTGGAGCCAGTCAGGATAAACACGACATTGGAGCGTCATCTAAACCTAAATACTCAATCAAAAGAAGAAAGACGATTCTAGAACAGGCTCGAATCATTGCTGAACAAAACGACAAACACAAACCCAAAGCATTAGGGTGATTTTAATTGGCCTGTTTAAAAAAATAGCGTATTTATTCTGCTTGAAGAAAAACTCTGTCGAGTTGCTCATTTTAAAGATGGCGGCTATCTTGGCTAAAAAAGTCCCACGATGCACAGTAATACTTAATCGTCGACCCAGTTTCCTCGACCACAAAATGGCTAATAATTATAGTGACTAACAGTCAAAGCAAAAAAA